TAAACACTAGTCAATCTCTTTGTACCTTCTGGGCCTTTTACCATGTATCACTTTATTTGATATTCAAACAGCCCTTGAAGTAAGTAGGACAGAGGTCTGAGCACCCATTTTATAGATGAGGAAACTGAGAGGCAAACTGACCTTCCCAAGGTCACTCAGCTAGGGAGGGATTCTTCCAGAACTACAGTCCAGGCTGCCACACACATGTAGTACCACTGGCTGGGCTTCAGGCTGCCTTCCTGTGTAAGATTCTGGCAGGTACTAGAGACATCACAGTTCATAGCAGAGGTGGGCGAGAGGGAAATTGAGGGGTCTTCTGTAACCTGACTGTCCCTGTGTGCCCATGGGCCAGGGAAGGCTGGGACTCTCTCAGAGTTGAGCCCCCCTCTGTTCTGGGTCCCTTAGCTTGAGGCATCCCTGGGGCCTAGGATTTAGCTGCTCACCCTGGAGCAAGGATAGCTGGCCATGAGAGAAGAGTATGCCCTTACCTGGGTCACCTGGTGTCAGGACAGACCTGGCCTCCTGTCTACATACCAACCAGGGGCCCTCATGCTGAAGAAAGGGCCTGGCTCCAGCCTTAGGAACCTTCTACAGTATATCTTTCCAGCCCTGGCCACCTCGATGGGCCTCTCCTTATGCCTGCCCACTTCTCACTCCCACTTCAAAACCATTTCCCAAGCCCAGCAGCCTAGCTCTCAGCCCATTAGAATTAGAGGGTAGGGTATTCTGGCCATAACCCTGAACTTGGCTGGGAGGCAGGGGAACTGAGAGTGGGGAGAGTTGTTGTTTCCCACCTTGGAAGGGTGAGAAGTCACTTAATTGCTGGAGGTCACATACCTTGATGGCCACAGGTGGTCCCTTTGTGCCCAGACCATTGAGCCACTGAATGAGGCCCTTTAAATGCCCATTAGCTAAGGGCATGCTGGGCTCAGACCTGAGGGCAAGTGTGAGCTGAGGGGAGGCTGGAGGTCTCAGGGGTGCAAGCAGAGGTTATGGGAATGTGGGATGGGGAAGAGGACAAGACTGCTGCTGCAGTGTTGAAGAGAATGCTTAACTTTGAGAAATTTCTCCAAAGACTCCATAGTCCTTTTCAAGGAGAAGAAAGAATCTCTTCATTCACTCAACAGATATTTTGAGAGTGTCTTAGCTTTTATCAATCAGAAGTGAACAAAACATACAACTCCATGCTTTTAAACTGCTTGCCAGACAATGGGAGAGACAGGAAATAAACAAAGAAAGAAAGGATATAAAATCAGGACCATGAAGTTAAACAACAACAATAACCAAGGCTAGGGAACAGAGAGCAGTGAATATGCTGTTTAGAGGTGATGGTCAAGGAGGGCATTTGTGATAGGTGGAATGTGATCAGAGACCTGAATAAATGAGGTAGCCATTCATGCAGCTATCTGGTGGGAGAAAAGAAGAAATAATAGAAGAAAATTTCCATGAGTTTCAAAATGTGTGAAATTGAAGGATGAAGCATAGATTGGCACCCCCAAAAGGCACTAGGCCCAAACAGTTTTATAGGCAAGGTTACTTAATATTTAAACAATATAGTTTATATCCTTCTAAGAACTTTTTCTATGCTTGATTATGTAGGGATAGAGTTACTTTGAAAAGAAAGTATGTTAGAGGTTTTCACTGCTTTGAGTTTTCTTTTTCTTTGCCATCTGTTTTGAGGACATCACCTGGCTTCATTCTCTCCTCCCTGACCAAGAATCCCAATAATAGGTTCTTCCCACTATATCAGGAGGGCTTTTCTCTCTACTTATGGCTATACAACATTAAAGATTGTGGTTAAAATGTGAGCTTTACTTACCCTTCTGCACCAAGAAGGCACAGGATCTGACTCAGGATTTAACAAGATCATCTTGGCTGTTCTTTAGTTTCTGGCTAGTTAGGGCCTCTTCCCTGTGTACTGAAACAGCTATGGGTGTATTTTGTTTCTAAGTTTCTGACCTTTTGTGCAAGTTTTCTCTAAGACGATGGGAGACATCGGGGTGGGAGTGTGTGAGGAATGACCCACCAAAGACAAACAGGACAGACAGAGGGAGAGGTGTGGTGACTGTCTGACTCCAACTCAAGCAGAGACCAGATGGTGTAATGGAAATGTACAGAGCTCTGTGTCTTCTCTTACAAAAATGGGCAAACCCTGCCTGTTCTGCCCATGTCAGCGAGGGCTGTCATAGTCCAGAGGTGGGTGTTAACATCTGTAAACTAGATAGCTTACTCCCTTCTGCGCCCCCAACACAAGGCTTGACCAACATATCCTCTGGCCAAGCCTTGGTTTGGCTCCTCATGTCAATAGAAGTTGAATCCCCATAATTGATGTGATGCTCAGAGAGAGGGTCCTAGATCCTGGGACAAGTGAGCACAGACCTACAGCATTACAGAGAAATGGGGAAATGCTGCCCACCCTGCAGTGGAAGGAGAGGAAAGGAAAGGAGAGCTCTCTGCCCACGTGACCTGAGGGTGTCCATAAGGTGCCCTTCTGGGCAGACAGACCTGGCTGTGCCACACCCCTGTCCTCTCTCCTTGGCTGGGGAGGGCAGATGCCCTCTCTGAGTTGGTTTCTTCATCTATAAAATGCTGAGGATCCAACTAGAGTGAGGGTCAAAGGGCATAGCAGGGTGCATAGCTCACATGTTTGTCTTCTGCAAGCCATGCTGAGCCTCACTCTTCCTGTCCCTAAGTGGGAACCCAAACATGTCCCAGGACAGCCACTGACGAATGCAGACTGGGAAGGCATTTATAGCCTGTGAAGCACAATTTAGTCTTCAGACAGGATGTCATGGTTAGAGACGGGGGTCAGCAAGCTGCTCCTGGAGGCCTGGATGGCAGCTTCGCCTGCGGCTCTCCCAAAGCTTACTGATTGCTCATCGGAAACATCAAATACCGTGTTTCTCTAGCAATACGTTTCCCTCGGCAAGTCTCCTACTTTATCTGGCATTCAATGGGTGACATAGAGGCCTACACACGCTAGGGGTGGAATGAGGATGTGGGAGCGACTGGGCCAGGCTGGCCCCTTAGCCCGCGCCCCTCATCGTGTGTACTGCACTTCCAGGACATCTCAGGGCATTGCAGATGTTCCGAGGCTCGTCTCACGTTCTCACCTGGGGACCTTTAGAAGCAGCGTTGCAAGTCTACGGCGAGGAGTGGGTGGCTAGAGATTAAGGGCCGGACGGCTGGGCGGCCAGGCCGGGCAGCTGGCCCGGGGTTCCGCAGCTCCCGCGGCTCCCGGGCTCGCAGCGCTCACTGGGCTCAGCCAGGGGCGGGGCTGGGGAGGGGCGGGGCGCGTGACGCGCGGCGATGGCCAATGGGTCGCGCACCCTGGGCCGAGCCTCCTGCGAGCCTTCGCTGCGCCCGCGGCGTCACGTGAGCCGCGGGGAGTGAGCGCAGAGCGAGCGGCCCGCGGGCAGGCGCTTTCCTGCCGCGACCCGCGGACCAGCGGGCGAGAGAGCCAGTGTGGGACCCGCGGCTCAGCCCGCGGCTGCGGCCAGATCCGGACCTCTGCCGCCGCCCCCAGCCCAGTCCGCCGAGCCGCAGGACAACCAGGGCCTGGCCGCCGGCCGGGCGTGCGCCAAGTTCAGGTGGGAGAGGCGCGGAGGGACTGGGCGGCCGCGTGGACGCGGCCCCAGGTGAACAGGAGGCTGGCCGGGACGCGGTGGGGGGGGCGCTGGCCCGCCTCTGGGCGCTTGGCCTTGAGCCGCTGCCGCTCACCTAGGTTCTGCGCGAGTGCCCGAGGACGTGTCTGGGGAGCGGAGAGCGCCCTAACGAGAATGGAGGGAGCAGGGTCGGACGAGCCTGTGGGAGAGTGACCCTCGGGCACCTACCAGCACTTTCTCCTCTCGGGCCCGCACCGCCGCCTCAGTGCCCGGCCCCGCGCGTCCGTGGCTCACCTTATGGGCCGGCTCTCCCATATGGCGAGCATCCGGCAGGGCCTGGCGAGAGGAGGGGGCAGGCGGATGCGCTGGCCTGCCTGGGCTTGGGGGGACGTAGGGGCCAGTGGCGGAGAGGTTACTATCGGTCACCGCGGTAGTGGCGGGGGGTCTGGGGGGCACAGGCCAAGGGCATGGTGCCCAGCGGGCAACGATCCAGGGCTCTACGGAGAGGTCTGAGCCAGCTCTCCATGCCTTCCTTTCCCACATATGTTCCCACTCACTCGCGGGTACCCCCAGCGGCTCCACGCGTGAGCACTTGGCGGATACCCTTCTGCACAGCCACATCGGCCGCCGCACACCACGCCCCGCACACGCAGTCACACGCCATAAACTCACACCTCCTTCTCGCACACCCGCCCGTTCACACGTTTTATACTCCGCCCCCCGCCCCTCACAGTCCCTCTGTCCCTTAGATTGAATATTATCAAAGCGGTTGTCCAGGAGGAGCAGCGGCTTTCAGAGGAGAGACCACCCCCACCCTATATGGTCGTCCTGTCCGTTCTTCCCTTCCCAATGTAGTGTTACCCATGGAACACCCATCTCTCAGAAGGCACACAGGGGCAGCTTTTTGACACGATCTGTAGAGGTGACAAAATCCCCAAATGTCTGAGCTCCTCAAATCTTTCCCCCTTTCCCTGAGGGACCAGATGGCTTGTGGGGAGACCCCTCTGCCCTACAGGTGCAAGAACACTGGGACTCTGGCGACTTTGGGGCCTGTGGGTGGCGCATAGGGATCGAGACTCTTATTTTGAAGGATGGCCCCCACCCGCCACCCCCGTGATTTGCACGCTGACCCAATGGCAAGCCCTTGGCCGGTGCTGGGCTTGTTATCAATTACATGTTGTTCCTACAGCCGCTGTGTCCCCGGGAGGATAAACAGCAGGCCTGGCCGGGCCTGGGGAGGGGGCGGAGTCCAGCGTCTGTCCGGAGACTGTGCCCGGAACAGTGTGTCCCCTCCCCCTGCAGGCAGCCTGTGCCTCTGGCAGTGCCACGTGCTGCTGTGTTTTAGGAGCTGGAGCCCTAGCCAGCCCTCTCTTTAACACCCGTGCCCTGGGCAGTACCATAGCCCCTTCTGGGTTGCCAGTGCCTGAGTGTCCCTTCTGGGGCTTGCTTTGCCTGAGTGTCCCTTCTGGGGCTTTCTTAGCTCTGAGTTAAGACTCTTTGCTTGATCTGGCTGCTCCACTCCTGGTCCCCGCCCCCTTCCGAAGTTCCTTTCCTGCACTCATTAAGAAAATTCTGCTAGGCCCTGCTTTAGACTCTAGGATATGGCCTGGGACTGAACAGTCAGAGCAGCTAGTATTCTGGTGGGGAAGTAAGTTTGCAAACACAGAACAAGATACTTTCTCACACTGGCACCTGCTGGGAAGAATCTAATAAGGAGGGATATGACAGAGGTGTCTTCTGAGCTGAAGTGCTGGCCCAGGAATGGCCAGGGCTGGGGCCCCAGGTGAGAGTGAGTTGAGTTTGGCTTTGGGGCCCAGCAAGTAAGAACAAGGAGGGGAGGATTGGAGGTGAGGTCTGCAGAGAGATGGTCAGGGCCCAGGTGGAGGCTGCTGTGGGCGGGCTGGGTTACATTTGCTTGGGAAGTAGTTGGAGGTTGTTCCCTTCTAATCTCACCCCACTGTACTTAGTTTTCTCACTTTTTCTTTTTATGTTACTTTGTCTGTGGTGTGCTCATATCTTTAAAAGGTAAGGCTTCCTTTAAAAAATGTAACTATAATGCCATCATCACAATACAAAATTTTAACAGTAACTGCTTAAAATCACAGAGTAGCCCAATGGTGATCACATTTCAGGGGAGTGTTTGAAGCAGGCCTGTTCTGAGACCTGAGGTGAGGCTGGAGTCCCCCTGATTCTTTAGCATCACAGTAGAGTGGCAGAAAGACCCCATGTTTACTATGTTTTGGGGCTGATCCTAATGGCTAGTACTGAGTGAGCAGACACAGACATGGACACAGAGAGGTTGTGCCACTTATATGAGTTTGCCCAGCTGATAAGTTGCAGATGCAGGAATGGAGCTCCTGCTTGGAGGGTGGTGCAGGGCTGAGGAGGTCTGGATAGAATGTGGGTGCTGTCCAGCCTAATTGTCTTTCACATTATCTGACACTTTTATTCCTTCCTGGTACCCTATTTGATGAATAGTGTGTATTTTAAAGCATACTTCTAGTTTTAAATCCTTAGCTGAATATTTAAGCCAAAAAATCAAATGTCCTCCGAGCAAAACCCACCTGGGGCACAGATTTTGCTTTAGTTTCCTAAAGCTCCAGGAAACTTTCTGGATGAATTGGGAGCTCGGGCCAAAGGTCCTGTGGTCCCTAAGCAGAAGAGAGACTTAGAAATCATTGAAGCATGAGATAAATGGAGAAACTGAGGTTGAGGGGGAACAAGAGCTAGGCCAAGGTCACAGCTGATGATGGTGCTGGCCTGTTGAGCTGGGCCAAGTGCCAAGTGCTAAGGTGGTCCTGGACATGCAGGGGATGGTGTACAGGTGCTGCCAGTTAGCAGAGCCCTCTTGCTTCAGGTGTAGAACATCCCCCTTCCCTAACTGTGATAAACACCAAGCCTGCTGTGGTCCCTGGGTGGGGACAAAGGTCTACAGAGGTGGCCTTGTCAGAGCTGAACACTGTTGACTGTCCCCAGACACTGGACCTACCATGTCATTTGGCTTCAGAGGATACAGTTTTTCCCTGTCCTCTCTATCACAGTTCTCTGAGCCCCTCCTGGGCGTCAGGTGCCACACCAGGTGTGGGGGACACAGCAAAGACATGAAGCACACTGTCTCATGGGGAGACAGGCTTTAGCTGAAGCTTCCTAAGGTGGTGAGTGTCCCAGATGCGAGAGCAGCAGCAGTGGGCTGCCGGGCAGGAGGCCCAGCTTCCTCATTGGCCCATGTGGTCTTATCTCCTGTCCCACTAGATGGTTGTGAGGTCTAAGGTACTAATACACATTCAGGTGCTCCGGGATGCTGGTAGATTTCCATACCTGAGAATTACCACCAGAGAGGTTGGCTTTGTCTACTTGGCTGGTGTAGCATCAGGTATGGTAGAGAGTGCTTTGTTTAAGCCTCCACAGTGGAGATGCAGAGGGTTCTGTGAATTAGAGAGCAGATTGCTCCCCCTTCCCCACCCTCTTTTTCCTTAGGTGGGGAAACAGCCAGAAGGGCAGCTACTTATTGGTCTTTGACTTTCTGGCCTCCAAACTACAGTTAACCAGATTAAAATACTGGCAGCCCAGTTAAATTTTAATCTCAGATCAAATGATTTTAAAATGTGTCTCATTTAATATTGGGAATATATTTATATTAAAAATAATTTTTTTTTAAATTCAAGTTTAATTGGAAGCCTGTATTTTTGTTTGCGCAATTTGGCAACCCTAGGAAGCCTCAGCAGCTTAGGATCAGAGGGCAAATGGCCCATCTCCTGCCCCCATTCTGTGACTCAACAGGCTTGAAGCCGAGGTCAGATGTCCTCAGATATGCGGTGACTCTACACTTCAGTGGTGGGATGATTCCCCACCCTCAACCCTGCCAGGGTCTGGAGAGCCTTCTCGCAGATGCTTCTCTCTACACACTCACAATCGGCCATTCACAGACATGTGTTCTTTTCCAGGATTATTCTGGAAAATCTGTTTGAAACCAGAAGTACCCTGGGTTGTGCAATGGGCTTGGAGAGCGCTCTTTTGCAAACAGGTGGTGCAATTTCAGAAAACACTCTTGCAGGCACAACTCTCCTGAGGGACAGAGGCAGGATCTAGGCATTTGGCAATGGAAGGCAGTGGCAGGCAGCTGAGGGCGAGGGCCACAGGCCCACAAGCTGGCAGGTGAGTGGGCTGTCCTTCTGACCATGCTTCCCTTGTTCCCTCCCTACAGCTGCCACCGGCACGGCCAGGCCACCATGGTGGACCACTTGCTTCCAGTGGACGAGAACTTCTCGTCTCCAAAATGCCCAGTTGGCTATCTGGGTGATAGGCTGGCTGGCCAAAGAGAATACCACAGGCTGCCCTCACCCCTCTCTGAAGATGACAGCGATGCCTCCAGCCCCTGCTCCTGTGCCAGCCCCGACTCTCAAGCCCTCTGCTCCTGCTACAGTGGAGGCCCAGGTGCTGAGGGCCAGGACAGCATCTTGGACTTCCTGTTATCCCAGGCCACACTGAGCAGTAGTGGTGGTGGGATTGGGGCCAGCAGTGGCCCCATGGCCTGGGGGGCCTGGCGAAGGGCACCGACACCTGTGAAGGGGGAGCATTTCTGTTTCCCTGAGTTTCCTTTGGGCAACCCTGATGATGTCCCGAGGCCCTTCCAGCCCACCTTGGAGGAGATTGAAGAGTTTCTGGAAGAGAACATGGAGCCAGGAGTGAAGGAAGCTCTTGAGAGCAACAGCAAGGACTTAGAGGCCTGTGGCCAGCTCTTGGCTGGGCCACACAGGGGCCACCTCCATGCTGGGTCTGCTGGGACAGAGTGCAGCACTCCTCCTCCACGAGGCGGCGCCAGTGCAGGTGGCACCCAGGGCCCAAGTGGAGGGCCTGCACCTGACGGGCCCGTCCCGGTGCTGCTGCAGATCCAGCCCATGCCGGTGAAGCAGGAATCGGGCTCAGGGCCTGCCTCCCCTGGGCAGGCTCCCGAGAATGTCAAGGTTGCCCAGCTCTTGGTCAACATCCAGGGGCAGACCTTTGCGCTGGTGCCACAGGTAGTGCCTTCCTCCAGCTTGAACCTGCCGTCAAAGTTTGTTCGCATCGCCCCTGTGCCCATTGCCGCCAAGCCTGTTGGGTCAGGACCCCTGGGGCCTGGCCCTGCAGGCCTCCTTGTGGGCCAGAAGTTCCCTAAGAACCCAGCGGCTGAACTTATCAAAATGCACAAATGTACTTTCCCTGGCTGCAGCAAGATGTACACCAAAAGCAGCCACCTGAAGGCCCACCTCCGCAGGCACACGGGCGAGAAGCCCTTCGCCTGCACCTGGCCGGGCTGCGGCTGGAGGTCAGTATGGCGGGTGACAGGCTGGGGTGGTGAACCAGTCCCAATTGTGTCTGTTCATCTGGCAGCAAGGCCATTTTCTCCACATGACATCAGGCTGATTGGGGGTGGGAGGCAGAGGGGCAGGACCATAGCTGACACAGCCTCCTGGAGGCTTTCTTGTCCCTCCTAGTTACTAAAGCTGAAGCCACTGGTCTCCCATTTCATAATGACCAGGTAAGGCTTGCTGTGGCTTGTGCTGCCTGCTGGGTCCACTGATCTAGTCAGATGAGGGTTGTGTGGCCAGCCTCAGTGCAAGGGCACTGATGTTAACAAGGACAGCTGAGAATGATGGAGCAGGCTGGGGCCTCTGCAGCACCCATGGGGTAAGTACTGCCATCACCCTCAACTTAACTCTGAGGACACTGGCTCAGGCTAGCCAGGAGTTTACCCAGTGTCATACAGCTTTGTAAATGGGATTTGACCCCAGGGTGTGGTATTAGAGGAGTCGTGTCCTGAAAATGCTGCTTCCCCAAACAGCTTCACAAATAGTTCACAAATGTCTTTGAGCACATGGGCTGGGCCTTTGCTTCCTCCCTGGGCACCTGTGTGTGGGAGGCCACAAAGGCCAACCAAGAGGGAGGATCAGACTGGCTGGTGGTGCTGAGTCAAAGGTGGCAGAATCTGTCCAGGCTGTCTGCTCTGCATGCCTCAGTTGGGAAACCAGCCTTAAAGGATGGGGACTGGCCCAGGGTTACCCAGCCCTTGGGTGCCAAAGCTAGAGGGCACCCTCCTTAGGAGGGCGTGTCTGCCCTAAAATACAGACAGCATGCCAGGAGCTCCATGCTCAGGGGTGCTGCAGCTGGCCCTCCTCTGTTTAGGGCATCCATCCCAGAGGACTCTCTGGCCTGCCCAGGAGGACAGCACATTCCTTGTCTTTGCTGCTGTGGCTGCTCCCATGCATGTGAGTGAGAGGGACATGTCTTGTTCCTGTGTGTGCCTGGGAACTGTGGATAGACCAGGACCTCACAAGCAGGCGTGTGTGTATGCACGTGCATGTGTGTGTGCATCTGTGCCGTGTGACTGTGTTTGTGCATGTCTGTGTGTACACCTGGTGTGGCTGTGTGCATGTGTGTGTGCATGTATATGCCATGTGTAGGAGTGACACACCAGGAGCAATTTATAGCTTTTGTTCTTTTGACTGCAGACTAGTTCTGAGAGTTTGTGAGAGTTGGCCAAAGGGAAGGGTCTCAGCCAAGGAGGCTGTGCTGAGACAGGGAGCTGTGTGTGGAAGCTAACTTTGATGCTGGTGGCACCTTCCAAGTACTGAGCTGGTCAGAGCAAGGTCTTTTCCCAGTGTCTTGGGTCATGGACGCCCTTCCTGAGTGAGGACATCACTCTTGGGCCTGTCCCCTGCTCCATTCAGACAACCCAAGATCTTCTGTGAGAGGCTGTGCTTCAGCCTGCTCAGGTTTCAGACCTGGCCTGCTGAGTGGATGCAGGGTGACAGAACTGTGACCTGCCCAGGAGGACAGCACATTCCTTGTTTGAGCTTGTGAGGACAGGAAGGCAACTGCTGTGCTGTGCTAGGTGGTCAGTGCTGGGTGGGTTGGGGGGTGGCTGAGAGGGAGGTGCCCTGACAACTCACATGGAGAAGAGAGCCAGTGAAGACAGTCAGTGGTGTCCATCCACACCCCTGGATCAGCCACAGCTCTCTATGTGCTTTGGGTGCTCCTCCTGCACAGCCTCAGTCTCCTCATCTGTAGAGTGGGGCCCAGGGGTACAGGATGCTCAGCAGCCTCTGCCTTCTCTTTTGTATTGTCACTCTCATGCAAGGTCAGGGTGTGAGGAGGGCCCTCAAGGGTGTACTGCATGGCCTCCACACAGGCAGCATCCCATTGCAGGCCGTGCCCCACTTGTAGGGACTCTGTGTACATTCTCCCCTGCACGGGGGCAGCAAGGACTATGGAGAGGCCGTGTAGCTTCCCTCCAGAACATCTTGATGGGGTCCCCTTTCTGGGCACTGTCCCCTGGCTGGTGCTGACCATTGCTAAGTGGCCCCTCCAGTTGGGATGAGGCTAGGCAGGGTGGCAAGGAGGGAGGGTGTGGTCTTAGATCAAGGCCACCCACTCTGCCAACTCCATCAAAGGGAGAGACTGTGCCTTCTGGGCTCAACCTAGGTGTGTCTCAGGGAGGCAGATCTTGGCCCGCCACATAGTGGCCACAGGAGGTAGGGAGTCCCCTGTGGCATGAGATGTACAAGTGAGTGGAGGGTTTGTGGAGAGGATTCACTGACTGAGCCCTGGTACTTATTTTCTCGCTAAGGACCCAGTTGGCAAAAGAAGTGTGGTGTCTGCCTGGTGTGGTGAGGTCATTGCAGGATGTTCCTGGCATCAGCCACACCTGGGCTTCTAAAGGGCTACTCCACTTCCTCCAAGCTCCCCAGGAGATGGTCTGGCTTTGGTGGGGTAACGCATGGCACTGTCTAGCTGTGAGCTGAGGGTGCTTACCTCTCAGGAGGGCTAGTTCTCTGGGGATGTGAGGAGTCCCCAGTTGGTCTTCCTAAAGGTTTAGGGAACCTCTGGTGATGCACCCAAGGTGGTTTGTATCCTTTAATGTGGCAGTAGTCTTTCACTGAGAGGCAGGGGGTAGAGGGAGCCCTTGCTGCTGTATGCAGCAGCTGGGTGGGAAGATGGACCTAGCTTTGGGGCAGCTTGGTCTGGACAGGACTGGAGTGGTAATGACAGTGATGGTGATGAGATGTCATATTTACTGACCACTTACTCTCTGCTGGGTGTTATTCTAAGTTTCTCAGAGCTTAGTCTCCTCCACCCAATCCCCTCACTTGTATATTTCCTGCCATGGGGAACTCATTACCTCTTGAGGATACTTGGCCTTTGGGTGTACTTTGGAACCCTAGCCAAACTTCTTGTCCTGGCCTATGGGCCCACACATCTGCTCTCCTGCTTCTTCCCCTTGCTGAGTGAGCTCTATTGCTTGGGCTCCTGCTTAGGCACTAGCTCTTTCTGTGTTCTCTGTCTTGAAGGCTACCCCTGCCCCCATGGCTGCAGTGACAACTAATGTTTGCTCTTGAAGTGGCCTCAGCTTTGTTCTGCAGGTATTAGTACACTGAGTCCTCACAACAGCCCTGTAAAGGGGAGGCACCAATTTGCATTTACAAAGGGAGAAATGGAGGCATGGGATGATCACATCCCATCCCACAGGGACACAGGTAGTGAGTGTAGATCTGGGGTGCAGCCCCAGATGGGCACCTCAGCTCTATGCTGACCCTCCAGTGGTGCCACATGTTTCTTCTTTTTCTCGCCAGGATTTTGGCTCCTTTAGGCATTGGACACTGGGCTGGGGGTAGAGAGCGAAGGACAGTAGTCATGATGATGACCTGAGCCTCTGCTGTGTGCTAGGCAGTGCTCTGAGCACTTGGCATGCACAGCAGAACATTTGTGAGCTGACCACCTAAGGGACAGTGACAAACTGGTCAACATGTGGAGATGGTCAACATAAGGAGCTAGGCCGACTGTGCTGATACATACTTGTGGTGGATGTATGAAAATTAGGGAGGTGGGCAGTGTAGGGAAGTGGCTAACTATGGAGGTTCTACTATATTAATTTGTTTGATTAGTTCATTAAGCAGGCATCAGCGGGTTCTTCCATTTCGCAGAAGAAGAAATTAAGGCAGAGAACAGTTAAGTAAGTCCTCCATAGTCATATAGCTAGGGAGTGGGCTGTCTTCAACCAGGGAAGTCTGCAGCGCCCAGACGCAGGGCCTTCTCCTGGCACACCTCTGCAGGAGGCTTACGTGGGTGGTGGGAGGACCTCCACCTCTGCCTGCAGCAAGGCCTGCTCCCAGGTCTCGTCTCTTCTTCAGAGTGGCTTGGTGAGCAGCATGTTCCTCCTCTCTGGGCAGGCTCTGGCCCTAGCTCAGTGTCCTGTGCTCAGGGAACAAGCCCGCACCCTCCCAGCCCACCCTGCCTGTCTCCGTGTCATGGCCTATGGCCCACTCCCCCATCTCCCGCTGAGGTCTGCCCCTGCCTGTGGACTCAACCCCATTTCCTTCTGCTGTTGGTCCTGAACCCCATATTCCCTGTCCTTTCCCCTCTGGTGATGTGATTTTGGCACCCTCAACAGGGCTGAGACCAGGCTTTCCCTCTTCTGACCTAGCCCTCTGGGAAGTACTGCTTGCTGCCTTCCTAGAAGTCTCCTTGTCTCACTTTCAGACACAGGCCTTCTTTGTTCCTTGAGGCAGAACATCCTGTTCTGGAATGGCCAGCCATTCTGTCCAGAAAGAATCCCCTTGTGCTGCAGCTAGTATGAATATTGATAACTATCAGCAGTCCTGTGTGGCAGGTGCTGTTGTCATTTGTGGTAGACATGGAGGCCCAGCAAAGGGAAGTTGCAGGCCCACAGCTACAAATGCACAAGGTGACAGGGACAGCATTCAAGCCCAGTGATCTGCTCCCTTGACCCCTGTGGCACTGCTGCCCTGTGTGATGAGGTACTCTTTGACCCTATTTCCCTGGTAGGCAGAGCCCTCATTTCCACTGAGACCCCTGAGAACTGACTGTTCATGATAAAACTCTTCTGGAGGATGGTGGGCTGTCGTGGAGAAGGACACAACTGTGTCCTGTGTATGTGCAAATGCTGACATTATGGGCTGCTCTGGAGAGTCACCTAGGCCCCTGTGTGTCCTCTGCCCTACAACTTGGCAGCATGAATCATGGTGCTGCCCTACATGCAACCAGGCCCTCACCAGGGACCAGGCCCTGTGCTAAGCTGTGTGTAGGTAATGACCGCTTACAAGTCCTGAGCAATTGCCATGTGCTGCTCTAAACATATTACTGGTTGCCTCTTACAGTCCTCACAGTCCTATGAGAGAGTCTCCTTCTTCCTGTCTCTAGGAGGGCTTTCCACTAAGGCTCAGGTATTTTGGAAACTTGGGAAGCTGGCCAGTAAGTGGTGGAGTTTACTGCCTACAGAGGCTGAGCCTTACCCACCTGGACCCCACTGCTCCCCACTGTCTTCTCCAGACCTCTCTGTCAGCTGTTTGGGAGAAGGCCGCATTAGGCGTGAGGGAGGGGTCTTCTGAGAGCTCAACTCCTAGAGACAATTCTTTCAGTACTAGAACCCTGTGGCAGCAGGAAGGGGTTCTGTAGTGAGGACAGCTTGGTCTCTAGCCTGGCCTTCCAGGGGTCACCAGGACCAGAGGACTGCTATGAGAGACCTGTGGCCTCTCAGATGAGTCTTGCCTTCATTGGACAAGTCAGGATACTAAGGCCCAGGTGGGCACCTGATGGGGTGGGGACTGTTGAGGTGGGGACCTGGGGGTGGATCTTGCTGTCCCACAGGCCATGTGAGTTGGCCTCTGAGCTCTGTCCGTGTCTTGCCAGTCTGACAAGGCTGCCCCTGGCTCCCTGGCCAGGGAGGTACCCACATGATCCCAGTACCTGGTGCCTGGGAAGGCTTGGCACTCTGTTTCTGTACCTTTCTGTCTGTCCCTTCCTGGGCCAGCTTACCTGCTCAGAAGCTGTTTGTTCAGCTCTAGCTGGGGGCAGGTGGCCCTGCCCCATAGCAGTGGTCTAGGCTCTGACCAACAGGGCACATTTTCTGTGGCCCTGGGTCCAGGAATAGGGTATTGGACTGGTGCTCCTGCGTGTACATGTGCCTTCGTGCATATGTGCATGTGTGAACAGGTGTGCTCAGTATATATGTTCATGTGTATGTGTGATCATGTGTTTGTGCATATGTACGTGTGCACATAGGCATATGCATGAGTGTGCCAGTGTGTTCATGCTTGCACGTGTGCATGCACATGCATTTGCATTTGTATTCTTGTATGTATGTGGGATGAGCACATGTGTGTACATGTGCACTGGGCCTGCCCCAGGACTGTGCTCTGCCCTCCTGAGGTTGCTCGCTAAGCCTATACTTTTACTAAAATGCATCTAACAAGGTACCAGGCACTGGGCTGGTCGTCCAGGGGACCCAGGGACCTAGGCAGACACACCCTTCCTCATGGAAGTGACAGTCTAGTGGGACAGACTGACATTCATCAAAAAGTTGAACTTAATTTAAAACTGCAATAGCAGCAAGAATGAGGAAGGAGGGTGCATGAATGGGACGCAGCCCTGGAGCCCTTTCCTGAGGAAGTGACATTTGAGATGAACTCAAAGGGAGGGAGCAAGAGAAGGGGGGAAGAGCATTCTCACTAGAGGGAACAATGTATGTATATGTCTTGTGACAAGAGGGACCAAGGAAGGGTCTCTGCAGGTGTAGCACGGAGGAGAGTGTGTAGAGTGAGAGGGGTCCCATGTGGAGACCAGGGTTGGGTGGGAGAGCCCTGCATCCCTGATCCAGCTCTGGTTCTTACCTGGCACATGAGCACCTGCTCCCAAGCCAGCAGCAGCCAGGGAAGGGAGATGTCACCAGAACCGCAGCAGCCAGGGAAAGGAGATGTCACCAGAACCGCAGCAGCCAGGGAAAGGAGATGTCACCAGAACCGCAGCAGCCAGGGAAGGGAGATGTCACCAAAATCACAGCAGCCAGGGAAGGGAGTTGTCACCTAAACTCCTACAAGCATCTTTCATGGGTGTGTTTTGTTTGGGATCATCTTAAAGGGCGCGGCTTCCAGGACAGCAGGGTCCAGGCATGGGGGTAGGTTCCAGGGTTGGGACCCCTCTCCCTGCGACAGCAGAAGCCAGACAGAGAGGAGCCAGCTTCACGGATGATGCCCGGGTGGAACTCTGGTCCAGGAGGAAGGAGGGGCCTCTGGACACTGGAGGCGGCGGGAGCAGGGCCTAAGCATCTGGCAGGCCCGGTGGGCTGTGGGGAGAGGTCCAGACCTTTCAGCCTCCAGGCCCTTGCTGTCCGCAGTACTTGCGCTCTGGCGGGCCTGGCGCCTGAGAGCGGCTTGTGCTGCCGGTGCTACCTTCCCTTTGTGGGTCTTTCCATCTTGGAGGGGCGGGCGCCTGCAGAGCTTGGGACAGTGGCTTTTCCCTGTGGATTCGAATCTGATTACAGTGCCTTGACATTTTAAGAGCTAGTCCAGCTTTGCTGGGCAGAAAGGCCGACCTGCCTGGCTGCAGGGGCTGCGGGGCTGCACGGGCGAGCCCCTGACCGCGCCTGTTCTGCAGGTTCTCGCGCTCTGATGAGCTGTCGCGGCATCGGCGCTCACACTCAGGCGTGAAGCCGTACCAGTGTCCTGTGTGCGAGAAGAAGTTCGCGCGGAGCGACCACCTCTCCAAGCACATCAAGGTGCACCGCTTCCCGCGGAGCAGCCGCTCTGTGCGGGCCATGAACTGAGGGCACCGCCGCCCCCGCCCCGGCCCCCCAGCCCCATTTCTTAAAGCAATAATTTATTTGCTGCCTCCCGAGGGCTGTGGCAATGCCACCAGCCCACCTTCCGAAGCCTGGGAGATGTGCACCCAAAGCCGCCACTCGCTGCCTTTCCTGGGAGCCTGCCCATGTCCCCGGGGACTGGGGTCCCCGGCACAGGGCAGGGAGGCAGGACTTCGTGCCTTCCGTGGTGGCCTGGCCTTTGTTGCAGCTGCTGACTGGAGGTGGAGTGTTGGGGGCCTGGCCCTTCTCCCACTGGGCTCCCCACCTGGGTTGAGGCCAGCACTTTATTGCTTGGAAGATGAAATGTGAAGTTTTGAAATGTCGCATTCCCAGAGGGAGCCATGCTGGGGAGAAAGAAGTAGGCCAAAAGTCCAGGGCTGCTCTGTGGTATGAAGGCCCCTTTGTCCAGGATGATCAGCATGAACCCCAGAGGGTGTGCCGGGCTGTGGGGGAGGGGCCTAAGGCTGAGCAAGGTGAGATGCTTCCTGCCCGGCAGTGCATGTGCTGAGTTGAGTGTGCAGGTCAGAGCCTAGCGTCCCTGCCCAGTGCCCAGTGTGGTCCGTCCTTTCTTCCTCCAGTTTCCCAGACAAATCCAGACACCAGCCTCCAGGGTTACCTGCAGGAGAGGGGCGTAGGCCACACTGAGTGTGAAAGGACTAGATAGAGATTCCCAACCCCAACTTAGAAATGCATTCCTCATTTTGTCTAGAAATTAATATTGAATGAACTAGCTTGTTTTGACAGGTTTATTTCACATCCTATGAATGTATGTAAATAAACTGTACATAGGGTACATCTACATAAAATATCTTTTAATAACGTATCAAGATTTGTGTAAATTTGAAATTAAAAAATCTATAAAGCCAATGTACATATGTTACAATTATGTATATTTTCTTTGGTCCTTCATAAAAATATTTACTTTGCCAATAAAAAGAAAAAAGAACTCAAAACCCTTGTGGCATTCACACGCCATTTTCCTCTGCTTTGCTGGGTGTGGAGACCATTCTGGGGCTCAGTCTGTGTGTCTGAATCTGCAGAGCTCAGGGGATCTAGTTTTGTGTTTGGAGGGATGCAAAGGCCCCTGGTCCAGCTCTTTGCCAGCCACTGGCATTTTGCTCACTCTAGTTTCACGGCCTGGTACTCCATAAACCTAAATCTAAGCCGTATTCTGGCATCACCCGTGGGAAGGCACCTCAGGCCTGGCTGGTCCTGCAGGGATCACCTGCTCTGACTTACTGTTTGCGATTCTATCTGGGCTCTTCCTACCTGCCATGCAGCCCTGTATGGTGGCTGAGAGTTGGCAGGTCATTTGCCCTCTTGGACCTCCCTAGGGATGTGGCCATGTCACTTCCTACTGACATAGTAATTGTGAAAATAATACGAATTTTGGGGGTTTTTGAGACCAAGTCTCACTTTGTTGCCCTCGGTAGAGTGCCACGGTGTCATAGCTCTCAACAATCTCAAACTCTTGGGCTCAAGCGATTCTCTTGCTTCAGCCCCCTGAGTAGCTGGGACTACAGGTGCCCATCACAGCACACATCACTATTTTTAGAGACGGGGTCTTGCTCTTGCTCAGGCTGGTCTTGAACCTGTGAGCTCAGGCAATCCACCTGCCTCAGCCTCTGAGAGTGCTAGGGTGACAGGCATGAGCCACCCCACCCAGCCTAAAGATATTAGGAATCTTGACCAGGCAGAGTCGAGACTTTGAGAGGCCTGGATGTGCACTTAGGACACCTCTTCTGCTCTCCCTAACTCCATAGCATGCCTGGGGTCTCTGCCCCATGGTTCCACATTGAGGCTGGACCCACTCACTGTCCTGTACTGGCTGGGAGACTGGGGGGAGTTGGGGGCCTGAGCAGGGGAGGTTCTTGGGGGCCCATTTGCTATGGCAGCTCAGCTGGTGTGAGGTGCACAGACAGAGGGCTGTCCAGATCACTATACACCTTCTTGTAGTGGGAGGCAGGAACCTTCTAGAAGGGACCTTTCCCAAGGACCTGACTCTCTAAAACAGCTGGATGCAAGTCAAGACAAGTGTTTCTCAGTGAGACCCTAGGAGATCTGGAGGGGAGTGATAGAGTACCCCTGGGTTTCCTGCAGGAGGTGTCATGGTGTGTGTGTGCGAGAGAGATAGAGTCGTGCATCTCAGAGCATAGAAGTGTTGTGTCCGCTGGCTTGAGAACAGTGCTACTTGTCTGTCCTGCTGGTGATGTGGAGGTTTCATGGGCACCCAGGACATATCACAGCTGATTGGAGGATGGACATCCCATCCTGACTGGCCCTGGTCTTGGGGAGAAGGCTGGGCCTGATGACCTTTGTCCTTTGCCACTGACTGCAAGTCCCCTCTGTGGACAGACAGGCTCAAAGGAAGTGAGGTATTGATTTCCAACTGTGTTAACATGGCTTTTTTTCATAAACAAGCAGTGCAGCCCCAGAGAAGAGGATGCAGGAGGGGCGGGGAGGCATCTGGTCAGGATAGTGATACTTTAGGAGGAGTAACCTCATGCATGTGTACGTCCAGTGCCGAGGAGCAACTGGACATGCTGCTGACCTCCCCTCTGTGTGCCCACTGTCTTGCTGCAGGGAGTGTGCACAGAGGGTTGGTTATCACACGTGTGCTGCACCTGCCCCTGAGTCTCTGCTGAAGGGGCCTAGGCACAGCAGGGGCACAGCAAAGCCAACAGAGTGGGCTGTGGACTGCGGCAGCCTGATGACCCTGTACTGTGCCACCGTGGGTGGGTTTCTTAAACCTCTCAGGATTTCAGCTTCTTCACACCACACAGTGGGTGGAGAGGCTGGGGTGGCAGCGTGGTGGGGCAGTGAGTGAACAAGCACGCGCAGAGCCTGTGTGCTACTTCCACCCTGCCCTGCAGCCAGCCCGAGGCCAACGCTGCTGAGATGCCTGGCATGGCCCTGCCTGTTGGGACCACTGTGTCACACCCTTCTGACTCTCCATGATTTCTGCAGTGGGAAGGAGAGTGTTTGTCTTGGCCTACAAGCTGAGGAAGGAGATGGAGACATGGACCAACATGCCCCACAATGATTGGGAATAGAGGCAAATCTGGAAGGCCGCAGAGCAGGAAATTTCGCCCTGACAACCCACTCCTATCTGCCCAGCACCTGCCCCAGGTACACAGAGGGGAAGGAAACACTGATTTTGATCATGCAGCAGGTAGAGCATGTGTCAAACTGCTATAACAAAGAAGCCCTGGCAGCTTAAGTGAGGGAGCAGTCTACTTCATGTATTTTGACAGCCTGAGAGTGAGCAGGTTAGGCTGAAAGGGCAGCCTTGGCTGGGACCCCCAAGCTTCTGTGCTCTTCTTGTTCCCCGGATGCCTAAGCTGATTCCGTAGGCCTGGGCCAGCAAGGGGAAATTAGGCAACACATCTGCCTCCAGGCTGGGAGCTGCACAGTCACTTTACTCCCCTCCCCTTGGCCAGAACTCAGTGACTCGGTCTTATCTATCACAGGGAGCTGCAGAGTAGGGTCTTCATTAGGGTGGTGGGTATGCAGCTGGATGGAGTGTGGGAAGCTACTAGGAGAACTCAGGGGAGGGGGAAGTGGAGGGTACCCATGCTGCTGCCAGTGCAGGTGCCAAGCTGTGCCCACTGCAAACCCTCCCTACCCATGGGAGGCAGCATAGTGGAGTCACCCTGTATTGCTGGCTAAGCTTAGCCTCACCCAGCCTCATCCACATTCTTAGAAGGGCATTGCTGACAAATGTAGGACCAGTGGTCAGGCACCCAGGGGCAGCAGATGAGCAGGAAGGGATGCTCTGTGGGAACAGAGGAGCCAGAAGGCCTCATACAGAGCCTAAGATACCTCGGCTCAGAAGCCAATGTTGCAAATGACAGAATCTGACTCCTGTGGACAAAAGCAAACCCTTGCAATGCCAGCATTTCCTGCTCCTAAATAGGCCCCAGAGTCTACACAAGGGCTCTGGGGGTAAGGGTGGGGAGCAGAGGAAGAAAGCCTGGGTGCCAGGGCTTCCAGAGAAATTGCCATTTTTCTGGTGCTGCAGTAGTTCAAAGACCTAGGCAGGAGGCCCTGCTGGGAATGGGTGTAACCCGTGCAGGTGGCAGGTGGCATAGGTGTGAGAAGGGGCTGGGACCCACAGGATAGGACTGAACTGATAGTGGCACCAGGTCCAAATAGGTCCTGCTTTATTGGAGGATGGGAGGAGATGAAAATGGGGCCCATTGAAAAGCTGCTGGACAAGGAAAGAGAGCAGCATCCAAAAGACTCAGTGTGTAGTCAAGCTGAAAAAACACTCAAGGACTCTGTCCCTTTACAGTAGTGCCAAAGAAGATGAAATATCTGAGAATTTACCTAACAAAGATGTGAAAGATCTCTATAAAAAGAACTATGAACCTCTGAGAATAGAAATAGCTGAAGATTTCAACAAATGGAAAAATATACCATGCTCATGGCTGGGAAGAATCAACATTGTTAAAATGTCCATACTACCCAAAGCAATCTACAGATTTAATGCGACCCCTATTAAAGCACTAATGCCATATTTTGAACTTGAAAAAATAGAATTTAGTTTTATATGGAATCAGAAAAAACATCAAATAGCCAAGATGTTACTCAGAAATAAGAATAAATCAGGAAGTATCACATTATCAGACTTTAGGCTATACTATAAATCTACAGTGATCAAAGCAGCATGGTGCTGGCACAAAAGTAGAGAGATAGATGTCTGGAACAGAACTGAGAATCAAGAGATGAACACAGCCACTTCTTGTCATTTGATCTTTGATAAGCCTATCAAAAATATTCATTGGGGGAAAGATTTCCTATTTAACAAATGGTTCTGGGTGAACTGGCCGGCGACCTATAGAAGACTGAAACTGGACCCCCACCTTTCACCACTAACAAAAATTGATTCTCACTGGATAAAAGATTTAAACTTAAGATACAAAACTATAATAATATTATAAGAGAGTGCAAGGAATACTCTTGAAAAAATTGGCCTGAGAAAATATTTTACAAGGAGGACCCCCGGGCAATTGAAGCAACACCAAAAATGTATTACTGGGATCTGATCAAACTAAAGAGTTTCTGCACAGCCAAGAACACTGTAAGTAAAGCAAATAGACACCATTCAGAATGGGAGAAGATTTTTGTAGGGTATGTTTATGAGAAAGGTCTGATAACTAGAATCCATAGAGAACTCAAATGAATCAGTAAGAAAAGAACAAATAACCCCATTACTTTGTGGGCAAGAGACTTGAACAGAAATTTCTCTGAAGAAGACAGGCAAATGGCCAACAAATGCATGAAAAATGTTCATCATCATCTTTAATCATCAGAGAAATGCAAATCAAAACCTCTTTGAGATATTATCTAACTCCACTAAGGTTAGCCCACATCACAAAATCTCCAAATGCAGATGTTGGCATAGATGTGGAGAGAAGGGAACACTTCTACACTGCTGGTGGGAATGCAAACTAATATGGCCTTTATGGAAAGAAGTTTGGAGAAAACTCGAGGAACTAAAAGTAGACTTACTGTTTGATCCTGCAATTCCTCCTCTAGTTATCTACCCAGATGATCAAAAATCATTTTACAACAAAGATACTTGCACCAGAATGTTTATTGCAGCCCAATTCATAATTACTAAGTCATTGAAGCAGCTCACATGCCCATCAACCCATGAATGGATTAACAAATTGTGGTATATGTATGCCATGGAATACTATGTAGCCATAAATGGAGGGAGACTTTACATCTTTTATGTTTACTTGGATGGAGCTGGAACATATTCTTTTTAGTAAAGTATCTCGAGAATGGAAAAAACAGTATCCAAGGTACTCAACACTTTTATGAAACCAATATATAATCGCCCACATGTTCATATGAATGATAAAACACAACTATAGTTCAGAAAGAAGGAGGCAAGAAGAGGGAGGGTGAGAGGAGAGGGAAGGGTGGGAGGCAGGAGGGTATT